ACCCTAACCATTCCATGGCTCTGTGACCTCTAAGGACGCTTCCATCCCAGCCATTCCATGGTTCTGTGACCGTTAAGGACGCTTCCATCCCAGCCAATCCATACTTCTGTGACCTCTAAGGACCCTTCCATCCCAACAGTCCCATGGTTCTGTGACCTTTGCAGACTCTTCCATCCCAACCATTCCATGGTCTTGTGACATTTAAGGACCCTTCCATCCCAACAGTCCCATGGTTCTGTGATCTTTCCAGACCCCTCCCACCCCAAACATTCCAAGGTTCTGTGACCTCTAAGGACCCTTCCATCCCAACAGTCCAATTGGTCTATGATCTTTAAGGACCCTTCAAATTCATTAATGCAGTGGTTCTCTGAACTTCAAGGACCCTTCCAACAAACCATTCCATGCATCTGTGGCCTTTAAGGATCCTTCCATCCCAGCCATTCCAGGGTTCCGTGACCTTTAAGGACCTTCCATCCCAACAGTCCAATGGTTCTGCCACATTTAAGGACCCTTCCATCCCAACCATTCCATGACTCTCTGACCAACCATTCCATGGTTCTGTGACCTTTAAGGACCCTTTTATCCCAGCCATTCCACGGTTCTGTGACCTTTTCAGACCCTTCCACCCTAACCATTCCATGGCTCTGTGACCTCTAAGGACGCTTCCATCCCAACCATTCCATGGTTCTGTGACCTTTAAGGACCCTTCCATCCCAACAGTCCAATTGGTCTGTGACCTTTAAGGACCCTTCCAACCCAACCATTCCATGATTCTGTGGCCAACCATTCCATGGTTCTGTGACCTTTAAGGACCCTTCCAAACCAACCATTCCATGGTTCTATGACCGTTAAGGACCTTTCCATCCCAACCATTCCATGGTCTTGTGACATTTAAGGACCCTTCCATCCCAACAGTCCCATGGTTCTGTGACCTTTCCAGACCCTCCCACCCCAACCATTCCAGGGTTCTATGACCTTTAAGGACCCTTCCATCCCCACAGTCCCATGGTTCTGTGGCCTTTCAGACCCTTTACCCCCACCCATCCCATGGCTCTGTGACCTTTCCAGACTCTTTCACACCAATTATTCTACAGTTCTGTGACCTTGAAGGACCCTTCCGTCCCAACAGTCCCATGGTTCTGTGACCTTTCCAGACCCTTCCATCCCAAGTCCCATGCTTCTGTGACCTTTAAGGACCCTTCCATCCCAACAATCCTATGGTTCCATGACCTTTAAGGACCCTTCCACCCCAACCATTCCCTGGCTCTATGACCTTTCCAGACCCTTCCATCCCAACCCTTCCGCAGTTCTGTGACCAAACATTCCATGGTTCTGTGACCTTCCAGACCCTTACAAACCAACCATTCCATGGTTCTTTGACCTCTAAGGACCCTTCACCCCAGGCATTCCATGGTTCTGTGACCTTTTCATATAATCACAGAATCACAGAATGGCCAGGGTTGGAAGGGTCCTTGAGGATCACGAAGCTCCAACCCCCACCACAGGCAGGGCCACCAACCTCCACATTTCACAGCAGCCCAGGCTGCCCAGGGCCCCATCCAACCTGGCCTCCAACACCTCCAGGGATAGACGGGGCATCCACAGCCTCTCTGGGCAGCTGTTCCAGCACCTCACCGCTCTCACAGCAAACAACTTCCCCCAACATCCAACTGAAATCCGCCCTCCCTCAATTCCAACCATCCCCTCGTCCTGCTGCCATCTCCCCTTCCCCAGAGCTGACTCCCCTCCTGTCTGTAGGCTCCCTTGAGGTGCTGAAGGCTGCAATGATTCACCCCGCAGCTT